AAACTAATTTAGAATAAAAATTAAAGATATTTACTGTTATACCTAATATATGGGCTTAAATTATATATATAAAAAACTATACATGAAATGAACTTTAGAAATACACTAAAAAAAACTCATTTACAATATAACAAAAAGACTTCGAACTTCCTATAAATTACAAAACTGCCGATTTCTTCAAATAAACACAACCCAAACCTTAAAAAAAATAAATTCCAAAACACTCAAAATGACATCAAAATAATTTAATAATCAAAATTAAATTCAATAGGGCCAGTTGTCATTTTTTATTATAGTTTTTTTGGTTTGTTTATATAAATTAAATTGAGTATAATTTTTATTTATATCACTATTGCTAAGAATGAGTATATAACTAAATATGTCCAAAAAGTCCTAGGGTCTTTAAAATTTCCATGAATAAAACAAAAGCGGGTACAAATGGCATCTGATCTGTGTTCTCTCTAAGAAAATTCAAACCAGTCGCTTACTATATAGATTTGGTTATTGCCGGCTTCTCTTTTTCACTTGCGTCTATCTTTTATAATTCTTCAATCTCATTATATACAAAACATTTTCATCTCATTTTTGAAGAATTTGAGCTTTTCAGTAGGTTCAACTAATTTCCTGAACATTTATAATTTTGACTAGAGAACCAACCTCGTCATTTTTGCTTGAATTAAATTATAATTAATACGGTGGGGTTGGGGTAGTAGCTTCGCCTTCAAGTTACTACCGCTACTTGGTCCTTACACATAGAAATCATAACGAGTAAAGTAATGAGAACACTTGACCATGGCGACTGAGCTCCAAAGTTTTCTTGAAATCAAATTTTGGAAAGAGACCCCATGCATGTACCTTGTTCTTATTGGATCTTTTTTGATCGAGCCCCATAGACCATAGTCCCAAGACCAGAAGTATCACTTGTACGGATGGGCTGGAGGAAAGCCAGCTAGTGTGAATTGGACAATGTCAATGTCAAGGTCATGACATGAATAATCGTAACCCTATATGTGGACCGTGCAGCATCAAAGAGTAGAGAACCTTCTATTCTATATGGTGTGTATGTATCCAATATTAATTCCAAAATACATTAAACCAGTTTCGTCTTATCAAATAACAAAAAACTTGTCAATGTCGCGTTTTATATTCGTATGTCTCTCATCACATGACCGGTATAGCTAGGTTTGTTTCTATCAAATATGCTATTGAGTCATGACTTGAGAAACAGCCCTTCAGTTTCACATGTAATACCCTTTCAATTGCAACATCTAAATCTACATTTTCCCCTCTCTCGTCTTTTTAATATTTGGAGTTCTTCAATCTTCGAGTCACACCATCCACATCAAGGAACTAGCCAAACTTGGGGTTCAAACTGTTGTACAATGTCCGCTAATTTCCTTCAAGTACTGCTCCCAAAATTATATTCTCGTGCATAGATGAGCTTTCTGCAGGTCCCACATTGGCGCACGCCATCGCTGGCTGAGATTGGATCAACGAATTCATTTCCTGATTTGTCTAAGTGTTTCTTTAGCAACGCGCTCTTTTTATTATTATTATTTCATTTTCTGAAAGATATGCTCAGGTATGAATTATGATTAGGACATGTCCAATATAAGCTCGAATATCGTTAATCAAACAGCGCCGAAAGTGAAAACCAGGTATGTATAATATATTATATAAGCAGAGCAAAGCTGCTTCCACCAAAAAAATAGTGAGGACATTCTTTTAAGAAATGAAAACAAAGGCTGTCATCATGTCATGCACATCAGAAGAAAAAAAAAAGTATGTATATATATATATATATTAAACCCAGTAATGCACGTGGGAAGAAACAGTCAATCAAAATTATCTGATTTTGATTCATACGCTGCTAGCTAGATAGTGTTCTTTGATTCACTTGCTAATCAGTCAACGTTAGTTAATGGACATCTCAAGATCCAAGTTGGGAGCAAAAACCTCCATATATGCCCCCTCTGAATCGTTGTCCTTTTTTACAGGCTTTATAATACTAACAACTTTCTCTCTAATCTTCTCTCTTAAATCTGTTCACTTTTCCTTATGACATATGTCATTTTCTCTATACTTAAAATAATGACATTAATGCAATTAGATAATATATCTTTTGTTCCCAAATTTACCCTTATTAAATACATTAACTTTATATTTCCTTCAATTTACAACTTAACTTAAACAATTAAATTTAAAAAATAAACACTAAAAGTTCAATTAAATAAATATTTGAAAATAAAAACGAAGTATACTTCCCTTTAAAAAAACTTTCTTTGGTTCCAAAATCGTTAAAAATTATGGAATTTTTAAAAAATACATATAAATATTTTTTTAAAAATTAATGAACATTCTAATTGATTGAAAAAGTTAAAAGATAAAAAGAAAAAAAAAAACCCAAACCCTAATCCATCTCTCTCTCTCTCTCTCTCTCACCCAAAACCCAGTCCACTCCCTTGGTCAAAACAATGGCCCCACCCCTACCCAATCATCACCATTCCTTTCCAATCCAAAACCCCACCGTGCACTGTACTTCTCACTCTCTCTCTCTCTCTCCTCTCCATTCCATACCAAAAAACCCATCCCCCCTTCCCTCACCAAAAAAAGAGTAGACATATTTTTTTTCATTAAAAAAACTGACTTTAATTTTGTGGAAGATGTTAAGGGCCCCTTCGGTAATGTTTTTAGAGCTTGTTTTCTGTTTTTGTTTCCTGTTTTTCACAAAAAACACGTTCGGTGCATCGTTTTCGTTTTCCCTCACAAAACGTTTTCTGAAAACAAATCTGACTTTGTGAACAAAAGTTGAAAATGAAAAAAAGTTGTTTTCAGTGATTTCATTTTCAGTGTTTTCCGAAGACACAAGAATGCATCCCATCAACAACTCTAGCTCTCTCTCTTGACAACCAATAAACTCCCCAACAGGAACAACACCCATCTTCTCCGACCCAAAATAAACAAATGTGCAAATTAAGAAAAAAAAAATACAGAGGAAGAAGAAGAAAAAAAAACAGAGACAAGAAGAAGAACCACCACAAACCCAACTCAAAAAACAGAGACAAGAAGAAGAACCACCACATACCCAACTCAACCACCATCATCACCCAATCAAACCATCACAACCATTAATTAGTGGAGAGAGAGAGAGAGAGAGAGAGAGAGATGGGTGGGTGTATGGGATTCATGCCATGGAAGAGAGGAGGAGTGAGTGTGGCATGTGAAGGAAAGGAAGAAGAAAAGAGGAAGAAAATGAGAAAAAAGAAATGGCCTGGGGAAGGAAAGATCAGAATTAAAAAAAATTAGAACTGAAATTAGCAAAAATACACCTGAAAAACAATTGTACTACCAGATACGTTTTCATTGTTTTTGTTTTCTAAAGATATTTTCTAATTAATCTACCAGACGCATTTTCATTTCTTGAAAATGCAAATTTGTTTTCTTGTTTTCATTCTCTGAAAATATTCTCAGAAAACATTCTCCGAAAACGTTACCAGACGGGCCCTAAAATTCTCCCTTAATTTTTTTTGGCATGGACTGGCTTGGCTAAAATTTTATCCTACGTTTGTTTCACCTAGTTCTGATTTTAAGTGGGATTAATTAATACAGGCCCCACTAAAAACACATTCTTAGTAAAACTCGTCTAGAGAAGAGGAACTAAGACCATCTTCAGTCATGGGCTATATCCCAAATATAATCCTAAAATAATGCAAAACTCATCTTTAGTCATGGACTAAATAAAATTTTGGCCAAATTTGGAGAGCCACATTTGGCCTTTTAGCCCTCCAACTGGGCCAAATGTAGCTCAGCTTTGGCCTAGGCCAAATTCATAGTGGACCCCACAATGTGCTTTTCAACCACCAAACATTAAAGCACTTCTAACTTCTCTTTCTCAAAATAATAAAATATGAATGACCCTAAAATATAGCCCTGCAGGGCTCGAGATGGAAAAATTTAGCCTTGCACTATTCTTTAAAAAATTAATATTTTGGGGGGCTAAATTTGTAGCTCTGGACTACATTTAGCCCTATAGCTGGAGATGGCCTAACAGTCCCAACCCAAGCAACGAGCAACCAACCCCACCCAAGCTCCCCACAGCCACCGAACCCCCAAGTGGCAGCCACAACCACCAGTGACGACCACCAACCACAACACCAGACACGACTACCAGCCACGACCACCAGCCACAACCACCTAAGAAGGAATAGACGAAATAGAAGAGGAAGAGGAGAGAAGAGAAAATTTTTGAAAAAAAAGAGAAGGAGAAGACATAAAAGCAAAGGAAGAGAAAATTTTAGAAAAAAATAAAGAGAAAAGTAGATAGAAGAATAGGAGAGAGGATAGAGAAGAAGAAGAAGAAATAGATGCAGAGAAGAAGAAGATGAAAGAGATGTAGAGAGGAAGAAGAAGATGAAAGAATCAGAGAGGAAGACGAGGAAGAAGGGGAAAGAGAGAGAGAAGAAAAGTCAATTTTTTTTTTAAAAAAAAACTTACATTTCACCATACCAAAAAAAAACCTTACTTTTCAAAAAAAATATTTTTTAAAATATTTAGTCCTAGTCCAATCAAACATACACCAAAAGCAGTACAAATGTTATCCAACTTATGAGAGGCCAAGCCCATTCAAGATAGCTTCAAGATTTAATCCAGTCCATAACAATTTATTGTACCAAACGACCTCTTAATGCCTAAATCCAAAATTAATGATAATTATTAGATAATACTACTACCTGTGGCTATGAGCCTATGACTAATCCTCTCTCCCTTATTAGCTGTTAGGCCACCGACTTTTGTGCTTTAGCAATCATCTTATTTTATCGGTTTTCTTCTGACAGCTATCAAGAGTTGTTTTATGCTTAAAGAAAAATCCATTATACCGAAAGCGATCTTTCTTTCTCTCTCTCTCTTGTCTTCTAAATTGTATAACAATTCAACAAATCCATCAGAGACGCAGTCATCAAATACAAAACAAGGAAAGAATACAATACAAGGCAACTCCAAGACAGTATAAACACACACTCACTTTTCTATGTACTTACAGATGGATACATGTAGTATACAACTACTAACTCAACTTCTTTGTCCCTCAAAACATAATAAACAAATCCCATATGATCAAATGATGCAAAAGTTGAGAAAGATATAGGGATTAGTCATCCCCTACTTTTCCTTTCCCACAAACAGAACTTACCAGAAAGAAAAAAAAAAGTGTCCTAATTAATTCTAACTGTCTAATAAACTAATGCTCTATGTACCTGGCACTGGAATCTGTGTTGGATCTTGCCAGCTTTGCAAGCCAGGCCTTTTCTCATATCATCACAACATACAATTGACAGGGTGGCTTCACCTCACTATCCTACACACACATAGGCTTATCATCCCCCTTTTTCCTTCAAAAGGTCTTGATGGGCGCAGCCCACAAAAAAATTTGGGCCTACATTGACACAAAACCAGTAAAAAAATAAAAATAAAAATTGGCAGACTTGAATTTGAAGTCCACCATGATCACCAAACAGACCATGCCATTGCCAGGAGCCTCCCTCTCCATCCAGGGAATTTCCCCCCTTGACATTGTTGAAACTGCATAATTATATTTGCCTTCTGTATCAAGTAACATCAGAACACCATGGCATTGGTATTCTTCCTATATCTGCAGCTGTTTTAACCCGAACGGAACACCTGCATTTCCAAAGCACACAGAATATAAACTATAACAAATGCAGTTCCAATCAAATTCTAGTAGAAACTTTCAAACTTTAGAGCTGAAGGCTTGTGATTTTACCTATGAAGCCTTGGATGCATAGATAGCAATTATAGGACGCTGTCTCCCGTTGTCCTCAGACGGAGTTCCACACTTCTCAGATCACGAAGATGTTCCAAAATCTCTTGGAGAAGAACTAATCCCTTATCTCCTTTCCTCAAGGAGCTAATGCAATGCTTTAGGAACTCCCTATCTGCTTCAAGCGCTTGCAGTCTCTCATAGACATGACCAACCTCCTCCTCAATGGCAAATTTCTTGTTTTCTTCTTCAAATTTTATGACGAAGTCTTGTGATGCAAAAGAATCATACCCTCCTGTATCTCCATTCAATTCCAATTCCCCATCTTCAGCTTCTGCTTCAAAGCCCTTGATGTTATGCTTTCCATTCATTTCTTTGGAATGGCCATTTGCAACGCCGTTTACTTCACTACTAACATCTAATTTTTCATGGTAGCCATTTCCATTCTCTGAAAGGAAATGCTTGATTGGTTTCATATTCTGAAAATGTTCTTCCTCTTCATCACTTAAGGTCAAAAGTTTCTCTTCCAATTCCTTGAGCTGGTCTAGAATGGATAACTTCTCTTCCTCAAAGCTAGCCAAAGATTCCTCCAGATACAGAACTGCATCAGTCGGGGTGTTTTGATTGCTTCCTTCTTCACGGCTATCTTCTTCCTTGGATTCATTATTCAAATCAATAGATAGCCCATCACTATCCTCAGCATTGCTACAAGGACCGGATGAACTCCTACTTCTTGTGCTGCCATCTTTCATTCTCCTCAAAATCATCATTTTCTCTTTGACCTCATAATCCTGGACCTTCTTTCGACATATTTCCAGCTCCCTTTCAACTTCTTGCTTTTCTTTTTCCCTTTTTACCATAAGTTCATTCAATAGCTGCATAGCTTCCTGGTCGTACTCAGACTGCTCTTCCATCATTCTCTGGTACTGCAAAGCTTCCATCTGCATTGCTGCTTTTTCTTCCTGTAGCCTATTTATCATTGCCATTGTCTGGCTGGCTGCCACTGCAGAAGCACTCCTCTCTTCTTCAAGTTCTGCATATAATTCATTCAAAGCCTTCCGTTCAGCTCTCAACACTGTTTTTAATTTCTCAATAGTCATGACTCCATCACCACCTTCAATATCGCTTAGGACACTTCCATCCAATGACTCTTCTGTTCCCACTTCTCTTCTCTCAAAAAGTAGCAATTCCTTATGCAACTGATGGAGACTGTCTATAGAAGTAGGTGTATCAGGGACTTTCTCTTCCTCAATCTCATTAAATTCTGAACCTAATGAGAAATGATTTTCTTTTGCTTCCTCGCCCGTTTCAGCTGAAAAGGTTTTAAATTTTAGTAACTCTTCCTCTGCTTGTTTAGAACCTAATAATGAAAGAAAGTAAAAGATTATCAGACATGATTAGGATTCAAGATTGGGAATGTGGTGAGGGAAGAGGGTGAGGCTTACCATGATGATCACAAGCATGAAGTTTGGCACAACTTGTAGAAGGGTCTTCCTGTGCACATGGATAGGAGGAATGCAGAAATTCTTGAGCTAATTGCGTTTCATCAATCGGTTCCTGATCAGGAATTTCTGTCCCTATTGAGACCTCCGCATCAATCTCGTCGTGATGCATATAGACATCATCCTCAAAAGCTGCATACGTGGGGCAACATTAAGATTTTCTCATCCAAATTCAAGAAAGAAACAGAACCAAACACTGAATATAAATTAATTTGAACAGGAGCACAAAATTATAAGTGAAACAAATTTAACATGTGTACCTTGATGAACATCTGAATCAATGTTATCTCTTGCTATAGCTGCAGTAGATTGGCCATCATCATCATCATCATCCTCATGAGATGAGGTTTGTGTTGCCTGAGTAGTAGCAACTGGTTCATTTTCCTCCTTTGCTATACCTCCTCCTTCTCCTTGAAAGACTGAGGAGGAGCTCCTATTCTCACCCAAATCCTCTGAATCAAGAACTGAAGCCCTGCCCTCCTCCTTACTCTCATGGAATGAAAGCAATGTCACTGATTCTTCTGAACTGCGCCAACTCTCCACGACCGGTTTGGCTTGTGCCTCGAAACACATGCCAAAATCCAGTATAACATCTTCATAACTACTGTTTCCTTGGTCTTCCACCTTGTACTTTTTGTGACTTTGGTTTTCAGTGGTGGTGGGAGAATCAATCAAATCAACCAGAACCAGTCGACAATCATCTTGATCAATGTAGAACTCCAGATGCTGAGGCAGAATTTCAGGAGATAAACCCTTATCACAACCGGCCTGAATGAAAGTCTGGTGATCACGTGATTGATCATCCATTGAAACATTCAAGTTAGCCTCTTTGATGGGTTCTTGTTCTTCTATAACCCTGTCCACTTTGTCATCTTCATTGGCAACAATTTCCTTGCAGCCATAGTCACATACAGAACAAGCAGAATGCTCCTCTGCCTCGTCTACTCTTCTTTTACAGCCTCCATTAACATCAAAAATCGTATTATCTTCCCTGTTTTCTTCGATAGCCTCATCATCTTCATGTTGATCGATTATGAAATCCGATCTGCTTTGATCTGAGTGATCACCTTCTTCAGTTTGAGCATCAACCCCTGCTTCCATAGTCAAACTCTGTTTTTGGGTGTAATCCAAAACCTCCCAAGAAGGCTTAATTAGAATACATGGAGGGTAGAATTTATTCAACTTCATGCCACAGCAGGAACAGTTCAAGTTTTCATCCCCATTCTCAATAACTTTTTCATCGCCACCCTGAATCAAGCCAATTTGCTTCATCCATGGAAAGAAAGCAAACTTCTTTGACCATTCTTCACAATCTGGCTGCGATGAGCAATCTTCACACATGTCTTGCGATTCAGCTAGTTTCTGGTGATTTGAGCAATAACCCAGTTTGGATATTTCATTGGCGTGTGTTTCACACACAAGATCTCTATGAGAATTCTTCTTCTTTCCGGGTTCTAAGAGATGATCAAGCCTAGAACACCAGAGGCAGGGTGTTTTAAGGCCAAAGTAATCAGCGAATTTTATAATTAGATAAGAAAACAGTGAATTGAGAAGAAGAAGGATGATCAAAATCCATTCAAGGAGAGTATAGACGAGAATAAGAGTGATCTTGTTGGTGTTTCTGTGCAACATGGTCGCAAACTTGTTGGCAGCCATTGATGAGGCTCTGTTCTTGGTATATACAGAGAGAAAGAGAGAG